ATCTTTTGGCGACCAAAGGTTTGGTAAGCCATATACATAATTATCTTCTTCAGCGGACCAATTAAATTCCAGTCGCCGTTAAGTTTAAGTGTTTGGCTACTTCAAATTATTTATGTCGCCGAATTGAAAAAACAAAAAATTTATTTTCATCTTTTGCGACCCAAAGGTTGGTAGCCAATAATTCTACTTTTCCCCAGGCAACCCAACTATATTTTAGTCGGCCCGCTATAGTTAGTTAAATTCCTGCGACACTGTCTAGTCAATAATACTCTCAGAGGGCGACAACAATAGAAGAAGAGAGGAAGCGTGAAAACAAAAAAATTTATTTTCACCTCTTTGGCGCGGCACCAAAGGTTTTGGTAGCAATAAGTTATTTTCATGCTCACCAATTAATATTTTAGTCACCGTATCAGTTAGTTTTGGCTTACTTAAAAATTAATTTCAGTCACGACATGAAAAACCAAAAAACTTTCATTTTTCCATCTTTTGGCGACCAGAAGGTTTGGTAGCCCAATAATTTTCCTTATTCAGTGACCAACTAACTATTTAGTCGCAGGCGTATAGTTAGTGTTTGGCTACTAAAAACATAATTTAGTCGCCGAATGGAAAACAAAAAACTCTATTTTCATCTTTCGGCGACCAAATGTCGTTTGTAGCCAATAAATTATTTTCACGCGAACCACATTAATATTTTCAGTCGCCGTATAGTTAGTTTTGGCTCTACTCAATTTTAGTCGCCGAATGAAAAACAAAAACATTTAATTTCATCTCTTGGCCGACCAAACTATTCTTCGGTAGCCAATGGCCGAGGCCAAAGGTTTGGTAGCCAATAATGATCTTTCAGCAATCCAATCTAATTTTTTAGTCGCCGTATAGTTAGTTTTGCGCTACTAAAATTATTATAGTCGCTGACATGGGAAAACAAACAAAAATTTATTTTTCATCTTTGGCGGACTAGAAGGTTTAGTAAGTCCCAATAATTTATTATTCAGCAACCAACTAATATTTTTAGTCGCTGTGTAATTGCGTCTTTGGCTACTAAAAATATTTAGTCGCTGAATGGGAAAGAATCAAAAATTTTTTCTCATCTTCTTCGCGCCGACCAAAGGTTTGCGTAGCCAATCAATTATTTTCAGCGACCATCTAATATTTTAGTCGCCCGTATAGTTTAGTTTTTGGCTACATAAAACATAGTAGTCGAGCGCGATGAAAACAAAATAATTTATTTTATCATCTTTGGCGACTAAAAGTTTGGTAGCCAACTTAATTTTCATTTCAGTGACCAACTTAACTATTTTTAGTCGCGTACTAGTTATGTTTTGGCTAGCTAAAAATATTTAGTCAGCCGAATCGAAAACAAAAAAGTTTATTTTCTCTTTGGCGACATAAGGTTTCGGTAGCCAATAATATATTCTTCAGCGACCAATTTAATATTTTAGCTCGCCTGTATAGTTAGTTTTGACTTACTAAAATTATCATTTAGTCGCCGAATGCAAAACAAAAAATTTCCATTTTCATTCTTTGGCGCCAAAGCGTTTTGTAGCCAATTAATTTTATTGATTTCAACGACCAATCTAATATTTTTAATCGCCTGTGATTAGGCGGGGGCAAGGTCTAAATTGCTTGGTGCGAGTTAATATCCTACCACTCCAAAAATTTATATTGCAGCACTATATATACAGTACTTTATATACTATATATAATATATTTTCCTCCTTTGTGGATTCACTCTCTGTTGTTCGGTTTCGCTTTTTGTCTGGGTTTCGCATTTTATGTGAGCATTTATGTGTTGTTTCACAGGTTTACATGGTTAGAGACAAAGATTTTTGGTTGATAATTGTTGCAATGAAGCATCCTATGCCCATTTTGTGCCAAGCGATGGTTGATCGAATTTTGTTGTTTGTCCACATGAAAAACCTCTATGAAATTTGCAAGTTAAAAAATAAGTATCCACATTTTTTATTTTTTAGTCGATCTTCATTAATAGAAAATGTATAAAATTTAGTCGGCACAATTCAAGATCATGTACTATACATTAGATTTTTTGCTATAAACTATGGTAAATTTAAAGTTGCGTTTGGTCTAGAGTTTTGTAAATATAATTTGAGAATATGAGTTTGTATTTTTGATCCGGTTTAATGAGTTTGAATTCATGATTTGCCAGTGTAGAATATTGTATTTGGTATGAGTTTCCCAAAAAGAATTTTTAAATTGACGTGCCGGAAATTTTTGGTCTGTGACACTCTTGATATTCTTGATACACAAAACCTAACAACTTCATAACCAACACACAATTTAAATCTATACAAAACCTCGTTAATATCTTTTTTCTTAACAAATTCAAAAATATCCTTTTTATAATATATAAAACATTAACATGGCTGTCATTCAAAAAAAAAAAAAAATAAAAAAAAATTCACAGATAGCGGGACGTCTATGTGGGCATCAGATGTACATCAAAATTTTCAAAGGAAAACGTGAAATTGATTTTTAAAAACTGTAAAGAAACACGAAACTCAAAAACACACCTTATCCCTTCCCATATTTTATGGGTCCCTTCCCTTCCCTTCCCTTCTGATTATTTTTTTTATTTTATATTAGGTTATTATGAGTCTCTAATTGATTTCTTTATGGCTCTCGAACTGTATTCTCCCGTTTTAGCATCCGTTTGGTTACTGAGAAAAGCTGGGAAAATGTGGAAATAAAATAGATAGAAGAAAATTTCGAGGATTACATTTCTTTTCGTATTTTTTTCAGGAAAATGAATAACTCATCTCAATTAATCCACATTATTGAATCTGGCTCTCTCGATTGATCTGTTTTGTTCTTCTATTAATCAAAATTTCTGGATAAAGTTAAACATTTGGATGAAATTTGACATATTGAACTCTGTTATTAATATGAAACCTGTCAATTTGTGGATTTTTGATGAAATGTAAAATTAGCAGTCGATTAGATTATGTTATTCATCTGATGTTATACATGTATGTGTATATTTGTAAATATAATTATACAAGATATGTTTCTGTATATATTCATATTCTTTAAGGTGGATTTGTTACCGCTTTTGTTGGCCGATTGGGCTCTTTGATGATAAAATATGTTGATTAAGCACTTGTTAGTGGTATTAATAATTCTGTAATTTTAGCTAAGGGAGATAAAGTGATATTGAATGATAGTTCAGAGGTAAAGTGTAATTTGTTATAAAGGGTATATTCATTATAATGGTCTAAGCGTTGCAATTTTTAGTTCAGAAAGATAAAGTGACACGAAACTATGATTGAGGGGTTAAAGTATAATTAGCCCTATTATACATGGACTAAAGAGCTGATAGACTTGCATTGCTAGAACTGTGAAGAATGTTGCCAAAAGAATGGGCCAAAGATAACACTGCTTGTGACAATGTGATCCCTTCTTCTTCTTCAGCTTTGTATTGCTATTTTTACAACAAAAAGAGGTTGCCAGCAAAAATCCCCCATATACCAAACCACATAAAAGCCACAACACCCCAATGGCATATCCATATATTCCTGTAAATATAGCTGACTGCACAAAATAGTACAAGGAAAAGTTATTGTTTGGGGAAGCAAAAGTTGTGCTTTTGTTTTTCGGAAACGAACATAGTGAAAAGAACAAAAACACACATCGTTTTATTTTTGTGCAAAAAACAGTTTCAAAAGATTGAAACAATTTTTTGATGCTTCCTAAAAAGTAGGTAGTTTTCAGAAACAGTTTGCCAAAGAAATTTTTTATTTTTTCTGAAAAAAATGAAAACAAAAACACAACCAAACAGATGTTTTGGAGGAGACAGAGAGAGAATTGAACACTTACACTCCAATAATGCTTATTGGTTATGTCATATCCTCCTCTATATTTCTTGAAATGATTTAGAGGATCCACTCTTACAGTATCATCTGATTGTCTCATAGGTTCTGATATGTTTACTGCTTGAAGCAAACTCCTTCCTAGAAAAACCACTAGTGGCAATGGTACATTTTTGTAGCTCAACTCTGAATTTTCTTTAAAATCAAAGCTAACCTTCAAAATCAAAACCTCAGCCCGAGCCCAACAATTATAGAAGATCATTAAATTACTATAGTATTAGTATGAATGTTCTGTCATTAACATTAAAATTATGTCATTAACAAGCACATGTTAGGCATATAAATAATTATATTATTGGTTGCAAAATTTTATCTTCGAGGAGGGTGGCTAATAGTTAAATATTGATTCAATGTTAAGGGATGTAAAGTTTGAGTAGAATAATAGAGTGGGATTGTTTTCAGATGCTGAGGAATAAGTTATTGCTATGAATATTGATATGCTCAGTAAATTAATATTATTGATTTTCTTATCTTTTATTTTGTATCACTTTTGACAAGATATTGACAACGAAGAATCATATTATTATGATTTTGGAGATGTGGGACATGTTAATTGGAGATGGTATAGAGGCCGAGCTATAACAAAATTAATATCATTCGGAGAGAACAATGCAAAAACAGCCCCATTTCTTCTTCTCAAGCATCATATGTACTATAGTCTTATGACTGTTCTTCCAAGTACTACCACCAAACATGAAGGAGACAACAATTCATAATATCTGAGGAACTTAAACTAGAATCTCCTCCAATTTGAGTTTTGGGTTTCTTTCCAATTCATCACATTCTTCAAGTGAACATTATAAAAGCAAAAGTAGCTAAAGGAAATCACCCTAGTCAACTTGATCAACACAATTACTAATTTCTGATCATATCACTTTGGTTTCAAATCAGTTGTGTGATTTCAATTTGGGGGATGCTAAAATAGGTCTAAGTATTCAATTTCAGTCCACTATGTGTACCATGAAGTGGCACAAGATAGATTGAAAGCAAAGGGAAGGGAGGTTCCCTTGTCCTTTCTAACCTTCTGATGCACACAGTCATGCGGTCATTTAGAGTTTATTTAAGATGTAGTTTGGGTTTATGAAATTTTTCAACATAGTTTTTAAATAAGTCACTGATTATTTTGTATTGGTGGATCATAAATTCAATTCTAGTTCTAATTTTCTATAATGGATTTGTGATCATAAATTCAATTCTCGATGTTTTTCACTTGTTAACTTTGTGGTGACATTTGGATCTGAACTGTTACCGCCTTGTGGTGCAAAGCAATTCTAATGTCTAAAATTGTGATCACCATATTTTGTGTCCTTCAAATTATTGGGGATTATCACCTAAAGTAGTCATGTTTTAGGTGTCATCAATAAATCAACCATGATTTAGGTGCAAACTTGTAATAAATCAACCAAGAAGTTGTTTTAGGTGTCATCTTCATTGGGAATCACTTGATTCAGTTGTGGCTACCTTACTCTGATGGTTGGGTGTTAGTAGTAGTAGGTTTCTCTGCTGTTTCTGTTTTCTGCTGTTGCTAGCCCTGTTTTGTCAGTTCTGTTATTGTGTTGTTGTGTATCTGTTGGTCTCTCAAAAAACAGCTTCTTGGTTGGATGCTGCCATGTGATTGAGTGAGTTACTTAGTGCTAACCTAGTTGGGATTGGGCTATTTCGCTATGATGGCCGCTGCATCTTCCCCCCCTCCCCCTCTCCCTCCCTTTGTTGATGTCTTTTTCCTTCCTTGTAAGGTTTCCGTTCATCAATAAAGTGTTTCTTCGTTGTTGATCCAAAAAAATATAGCAGCAGCAGTATCAGTAGAAACTTGGGTTTATTTGTTTATAAAATGAGAAGAATATCAACTATTTGTGTGATTGAAGTGATGGAGGGGTTCTTCTAGTAGATAAACAGGATTAAAATCTGATATAAACGTAAGAAAAAATCTGATTACTTGTTAAGGTAGACAATAAATTTATGCTCTTCAATCTTTTTAATTTCCCTTCTAATATATGTGTAGAATTTTATTTCCTTTATCCAGTGCTGGTCCAACCTTTGTGGGGTGCTACTTGGGTATACTGGGTATACAATATATTACCCTTTGGCATTATTTGCACAAAGTAGTTACCCTAAAACTTGCATATTCACTGTTGATAGCCTGAGCTTTTACTGTTCACATCTGGATCCTATCTCCTGACCTAGAGAAAAGGAAAATAATTAAGAAGTGAAAGTACTTAAATCTAAACTTCTGTAGTATTTATTGATTCTTACCCAAGCAAAAATTACTATGACCTCATATAAGAAATAGGTAAAAAATGACAGTATCGTATGTGTCAAGATAGATATTAAAGGTTAAAGCGTTTCACTTCCATATTTTTTATATAATGTGTTCAGATTTGCTTGAATTTACAGTTTCCGTATGTTCAGCAATGAAGATGTTACGATTGGTGCATGGATGCTTGCAATGAATGTCAACCATGAGGACAACTGACAACTTTGTGAACCAGAATGTACTCCATCATCTATTGCTGTTTGGGATATTCCAAAGTGTTCAGGTTGGTAATTAACTAATTATTCTCATGGTTTGGATGCATGTTCTCTTAGAAACAGCCTCCATATGCTGAAATCTAATAAAATCCCACCTTGGAGAAAGAGGAAAAATAAAGGAAATAATTTATCAAGAATTTTAACAAGGCCCCTCAAAACCCACTGACTGACTCAAAGAAGTTAGAAAGGATAAAAAGTTGATGTGGCATGGGAGATAGACATTTTGTATTAATGAAAATGTTTTGTTATGTTGCGGCATTGCCCTTAATATGTAATTTAGATTTTATTTTTTATTTTTTTGCATTTAATTTGGTTTTGTGGTTGTTTTCCTTTGAATGGATGTCATATTGAAACAAAAGCTATTTGTGCAAAGAATTGATTTTTAAAGTATGTTCTTCTTATGCATAGAAGTTATATACATCTATACTTTGTTGAGTTACCAATTTTCCCAAAAGCCATTATGAACGAACAAAATTTAGAACTGGTCCTTTGAACATTATGAATGAACAAAATTTAAAGACATTCTTATCACATCAAGTTTATAACCTTAATGTGATATTAATATTATACTTGTCTCCTTATGTGTCCTGTTTGGTTTCAAGTAGACCACCACCAAATTTGGTCCACTTAGGGATGATTTAAAATTCGATCTCATGTAGTATTGTTTTATTTTGATTTGTCATTTGTTTGGCTTAGTAAGCTTGTCAATATTATTAAGGTCTGACTAAATCTACATGCATTCTCGATTATGTTATCATTTTTAATTGGCTAGGTTGAGGATATTTCTGAATTTGGTTCATTATCAGGTATGTAGATGTAAATTGTAAAGTGGTCTGTCAAATAAGGAACTGTTGTTTGAGCTGTGCAATCGTATCATAGTTTGATTTATTTACAAGTCCAGGCAGTGGGTTTATGTCATTATAATTGAGGATTATGGTGCAGTGGTGGTTGGGAAGTGGTTGTAGTGTGGTAGTTTTGAACTTGGGGGCTGTGATGCTGTGGCAATGATGGCTGTTGAGATGGTGACGGTATTAGTACCGGGATCTGGGAGTGTATTGATGCATATTAGTTGTTAATTGAATCCAACTGCTTTTGAATTTGGTTTCATGGGATTGAACCCCAGGTCACCCCTGGTCCCAAGTGCAGGTGTTCAGTCTATATTCAAAATGCAGTTTCAGTGTACCATTTGAGTTATGAACTTATGATATCATTTTGGTTTGATTTAGACCATAATGTAGCAGTTAAATTTGGTTTATAAGGTATACATAACATTATTCTTCACTTTTAAGCATTGTAAATACAGGAGCCATTTCTTTAGTGTAAAGTGTAAGTATGGCTTGATGACCAAAGATGAAACAATCATCATCCTTAGTATAAGTATAATTCTTCTAGTGGGGGAGTTCCCTACGAATTATTTAGTTGTCAAGTTCTTACAATTAAATTTATGAAATTAGGTCAGGTTAGTCCCTGGCTTTAAATCCTCTTGGAATGTATCATTTTCTTGATGTAATCAGAGTTGTCTGTATATATTTTTTTATAATTTTAAATTTGGCAAAATGTAGTCAATACTAATGATTAATTTTTTGTTTTACAAATGGTTTTTGGTGTGGAATTGCAATGAACGATTTTTTGTTACAAGTACGAAAGACATTGTTTTTAGTCTAAAAATTAGCATTAGTTTGTACATATTAGTTTTATGGCGTGGTACAGGAGATTGAATTTGACGTCGTACAGATTAATTTTTGATGTGGTACAAATTACCTTTTCGCATGGTACAGATTATTTTTTTGGCATGGTACAGAATACCTTTTGGCGTAGTACAAATTAGTTTTTGGTGGTACAGATTAACAATTGGATATTAATTTTGTTTAATCCTATGTATGGAATTATATTTTTCAGATTGGATTATATTTGGTTTGTGTGGAATTTCTATTGGAAATATTAATTTGATGTTAAATATGAATTTTTTTGATGGTTGAAAGTAAAATGTGTGCATGTTGTGGAATGGTTGCTAATTTTATCAGTATATGGATAATTATATATATATATAGGTTACAGATTGTACTAATAATGGAATAAATACTGGTGGTTGAGAAAGTAATTAAAAAAAATTATAAAATTTTTTACGACTAAATATTTTGGTAGCCAAAAATGCAAGCAAAGATTTTTCATGACTAAATATTTAGTAGTAAAAAGAAACAAAAGACTTTTAGCGACCAAATAGTTAGTAGCTAAAATAAATGAAGATGAGGGAAGAAATTTTTCCCGACTAAAGATTTTAGTCACGAAAGAACATGGCATCCTTCGGCGACTAAAATATTTGGTCGTAAAATACCATGAAAAGAAAATATCTAATATTTTGGCGACTAAAATGTTTCGTCGTGAAAACTAATAACGACTAAACTATTTGGTCACTAAACATATTATTATTAGTGACTAAAATTTTTAGTCAGTAAATGTATTATTATTAGCGACTAAAATTTTTTAGCGACTAAATATTTTAGTCGTTGAAAGAGAATTTTATTTTGATTTAATTACTTTTGGCGACAAAAT